GTCTCCCACACCCACCTCCCCACCAATTTGGATCGCTTGTTGTTCCCTTGTCCCTGGGTTTGTTATCCCCTCTTCTTCCCTTACCCCCTCCTCCCCCTCTCCCATGTCCCCCCAGAACTGTCAGTCCCGTTGTTTTCTCCTCCAGATTGTTCATCCGCTCCAGTGTTTCTATGCTAGCCCTCACTTCTCCATGGAACCAAGTCTTTGTCCCCAACCACTTAACTGGCATGTGCATAGATGGGCTGGCTCAGGTCTGCTGACTCTGAGCTACAAGGCTTAACAAATGTGCAGCCAAGGTGAACTGAGTTGCAAAATACACTTGAAGGTTTGCCAAGGCCAATTATCTTCCTCAGGACAAAGTTAACATTAGAACACTAATCCATAATGATTTCCCCTCCTGAAGCTAGGGGCAGAGTTAACATTCCAATTCAGCTCCTCACTGTCCTCAGTCTGTTGCCCTTGAGTCAAGGACGATGCATGACCACTCATTTGTTACAGAGGGGAACTGCTCCACAGGGTTTTCCATCTGATGGGAAGCAGACTGCACAGTCTTTCTTTGGGAGTTGGGGGGGGGGGGCAGTATTGCTGTGTGGGTTAGTAGTTGAGCACGAAGTATTTGTGCCCCCCAGTGACAAGTATGGAGACATATTTGTTGCTGTCCCTGGGTACCTTCAAGTTGCTTTCCAACCCATAGCGACCCCATGGGACTAAGTAGCACAGCTCTCGGTTTTCTGGGTTCCAGTCTTCACAGGAGCAGATTACCAGGCTTTCTCTCGTGGAGCCCTTGGGTGGGACCAACTCAGATTCTTGGTTAGCAGCCGACTTAGCTCTGTAAGGCCTTCATTCTCTTCATAATGAACCCAAACCAAACTGACTGCCATCAGTCACTCCAGGTCATAGTGACCCTGTAGGACAGGGGAAAACTGCCAGTGTGGGTTTCTGACACTCAACTCTTCACAGGAGTAGAAAGTCCCATCTTTCTCCCCTGGAGCAGCTGATGGTTTCGAACTGTGGTTAGCAGCCCAACATGTAACCAGCACACCACCAGGATGCTCATTATTTGTTGACTGACTCTCCAAGAGCCAAAATAAAAGTGTTAAAATTAACTCTATGATTTGGAAAGAAACACTGTTACTGTTAATCTGCTTAATTAGAAATGCTCACACAACTGAACCCTGGGTTGAAAAAGTAGTAGAAATGTACGTTTATTGATATATTCACACATTATAGGAATGATCTGTCGGAAGTAGAAAAAACAAACAAGATTTACTTAAAGTAGAAACACGATGCAGGTTAGGCCACTGTGTATCATATCTTCTTTGTGTACTTGTTATGAAAAATGTCCACTGTTGTCTCATGACATGGTCTTAAATCATAATCACAATATCCAAGAGAAAAACGACCCTGAAAGTAGAAGTGTTGTTTTAAAAGATGATATAAAAACTGCTGATACTTATTTATAAAATTATATCCTACCTGTGGTTTCTTAAAATAATCAAGTCCCCTTCCAATCTTAATCATCCATCCATTGTTGAACCTATTGAAATCAGTATATAGTAGCATATTAAATATAGTTAAGTCAGGCAACTATCAAAGTTGTAGTGTATTAAGTGTCAGCAAAACTTCATTCTATGGAGTGAGTTGAATCAATGCTAGGATTAATTGTGTGCTCTGTCTGGTTAGTAAATGAAACAATGAAACAAAATACCCATAAAACAATAATTTGTTTGATTAGCTGATTAAAAAAACAACTCACGGCCAGTGTGTCGATACCAACTCAGACCAACCCTATAGGACTTGGTAGAACTGGTGGATTCGAACTGCTGACTTTGAAGTTAAGCAGTCCAGTGTGTAACCCACTATGCCACCAGGGATCCTTTAGGTGATAAAGTATTCAACAATTAAATTAAACCTCAGGCTTGAATTTCAGCTTGTGGGCAAGCATTGCCTGTTGTGCTAACAAGTGGTTCACGACTATGAGCTGGTAGACAGGTGGAATAGGGAGTGTGAGCAGGATGAGCCCTCGTGCTGTGACTGCATCAGTTTTCACAAAACCCGGGACCCCAAAAATATAAGCGTGGGAACTCTACCATGCTCGACAGAAGGAAACAGTGTTTCCTGTAGACACGGCATATCATCGTGCCTTAGAATATTTAATGAATCATAAGCAAAACCACATGAAGTACATGATGAGTTTTATCCCAATAGCATAACATTATATGCGTAGGTGAACAGACAGAAAAGTATTTCCCATGTGACATAGAACATACATTTATCGCCTTTAGGAAATATAACTAACATAACTAAAATGAGTGTTTTGCTTCCTTCAAAGCTGTTTTGATTTTTAAATCTTTAAGTTGAATAATGATATACAGTTATTGATATGAAAGCCTAATTTATCAAGAGACACAAATAACTGTACTTCAATGGCTTAAAAATGAAAACATTCCCATGTACTAACCTAATCTCCCGGTCATGTATTGATGAAGAGTAGTCTAATTCCAATAGCACACCATGATCCCCAAGTGACTCTTTTATTTCTCTCAGGCCATTACATTGCTGCAATCTCCCACCACTCTAGTAAGAGTCAAGACAGAATTTCTGCTGCAGTTATTAATACTTTAAATTATCCCTAAGCTCTCAGTATCACAGACTAATTAAAGTGGAATGTTCTACTTGAGTTTTAATTTCTTCTGTCTCAAGCAACATGAAGTCAGCTAAACAATTGTTTTTAATTAAGATAATTGTTCTCTCTAATGTGAACAGAACATAATGGTATACTAAAATCTATTTCAGTCATGATTTGTAAGTCATTCTGATAGGGTGCCTGCCGCCTTCTCAAATGAATCCAAGAAAACAATTAGTTGGAAGCATGCCTATCCATGGAGGTAAAAATCAAAGTAGAGAAGCCCACTATCATGTTGCTGTGCCTCAGAAGGCCAATGCAATACATCAAAATAATTAAGCATAATTTAAAAACTCTTTTTAAAACTCCTCAAACTCATGGCCATCAAGTCAATTCCAACTCATAGCAACCGAATAGGACAGAGAACGGCCCCTGTGGGTTTCTGAGGCTGCACAGTTTTAGGGAGCAGAGAGCCTCATCTTTGTTCCTCAGTGACTGCTAAGAGCAGCCCAATGGATCATGCATTTTGCCACCAGGGATTGGAAGCTTCAAAAAGTTCATGGAAAAATGGAATGGAAAGGTATTAGGAATTTTCCACAAACTTTTTGAAGTTTCCTCATAATTGTTAAAGATGAGACAACAATGTCTACATTAAAGACAATGTGATATCCCCTAGCACATACACAGAAATAAACTCCTTAGACAAAGTAAGAGGGTTTAAGCTAAGTGGCCAAATACAAAGTCAACATACTGAAATCCCTGTCATTTTTCTCAAATTGCTTTATGCCTATTTTAGATAACAAGTTACCTCACAAGGAGACAGATCTAGCTGAAACATGTCTAGATTTCCCTTGATTAGCTACATCTTGTAAATGAGGAAAATGAATGGAGGTGAAAGAGGATTTGCTCTCAGATACCTACTTCATCCAGAGAGGTGAGAAGATGAATAGTTTTTACTTTACAGGGTCTTTTAATAAGCATCTCACAAAACCGAAGAAAGTTATATAGCTGAAAGACATTTGGATGGGTTATTACTGAGTATATTTTCATATAATGTCATTACATTTTTATTCCATTTTTTAAATTATACTTAGATCCTTTCACGCACCTGATGAGTTTGTCTAATATAGGGGTCTTCTATCCAAACTTCTGTAACTGCCTCATTAAGATATTCTTGAAAAAGTGACTCATAGCTGAAACCTGTTGCATTTTCTTCTATTTTAATTTGCTTGTGATATTTTCCATCTACAAAACAAAACACAAGCTTCAATAATAATGCTGGCAACCACTAATTATCATTTCATATATTATATTTCATGCATAGTCTTAAACAGGGTCAGATACAAGTTAATTTAAAAAAAACCTTTCAAGATACACGTTTAAGATACAAGTTAATTAAAAAAAAACACCCTGTTAAGCATTAGACTACAGAGCTGTTCAAACCTACTAGCCACTCAGAGGGAGAAAGATGAGGCTCCCATAAAGATTTTTTTGCTTCAGAAACCTTATGAAGGGAGGTTAGGAATTAAAATCGGCTCAATGGCAGTGGATTTTTTCTAGTATTTTGGCTATAGTAAGCACCAGGGGTGTGCACTGCAGGCACAGGGAGCAATGGTCACTTATACATCTATGTTTGTCGACTGGATGCTCATGAGCTGGCAACTAGTAATGGAGTAATACCTACTTCACCTCTATCATTAGGATTAACTCCTAAACGGTTTTGATTCACTGCAAAATCCAAGAGACATCCCAAGCATTTGTTTAATGATTTTGATCATTTCATCAAGGAGAAATACAAATATAATCTGGCATTTACACTCAGTATGCCTGTGTAGTAGTCCCCAAACAGTTTATGCTTCAGCTTCACAAGGATCTGTGAACTCCTAAGAGTAGCCTGCAACATTTCCAAGGGTCAGCTGACACAGTTCTTCCCCACAGGCGTGGGGAAAGGTGGTAAAGGGTCTCCCCCTACACCAGTGGTTCTCAACCTTCCTAATACCCCAACCCTTTAATACAGTTCCTCATGTGGTGGGTGACCCACCCCCCAACCATAAAATTATTTTTGTTGCTACTTCATAACTGTAATTTTGCTACTGTTATGAATCGGGCGACCCCTGTGAAAGGGTCATTCAACCCCCACAGGGGTCACAACCCACAGATTGAGAACCACTGTCCTACACCGAAAACCCACTGCCACCCTGTCCACTCCAACTCACAGGTACCTTTTTATAAGGTTTCCAAAACCAAATCTTTACAGGAGTAGGCGGTCTCTTCTTTCTCCCATGGCTGGGGGGTTTGAATTGCTGAATTTGAAGTTAGCAGCACAATGCTTAACCCACAGCACCACCAGGTCCCCTTTCTCCTGTACCAGGGAGCAGAAATCTATAAACATGGTCCAGACTGCAAAGTGCTCTCAAGGGCAGGCGCTATAACCAGTGGGTACTTGGGGTTGCCCCATAACTTATTATCTACAACACTGTCTTTACCTTCTTTTTCTTGATCCAAGTATTTCTTTATGCTTTCTGCTCTATCCATGTAGTCAGAAATTCTTTTTCTGAGACTGCATTTCTTTTTGTCATCCTTGGTGCCTATAAATCAGAAAACATCATTCTGCAGGTTCACACCAGCTTCTCTATCTCGTTCAGGTACTGTGTCCACTTTCTCAAAGTTCTCCAAACATCTTCAAGTTGCTTGTCACTCTCCTAAAATACAAACTGGTTCAAACTGGACTTGGACTTTCATTTTTGCACACAGCATCTGTATTTAAGAATGGGGATTCTGATAACATGACACACCTCTGAGAAAGAGGTTGCTGTTAAATATCAAATCCGAGCCTGAGTACCATTTTAACCTGATTACCTAAAAGCTTGAAAATGTTAGCATTAAAAAAAGAAAACGTTAGCATTATCAAAAGGCAACAAATAATATCATATCCTCCCTCCACAAAACCAACAACTCTACCCAACTTCCCTATGGTCATTAATGCTCAATAAATTTCCCAGCAACCCAAAAATGTATATTACCTTTGAATATACCTATCAGTAAACTATTACAAGCCCCTCCCCATCATGCCACCAAATCACTTCCCTTCTGTCTGTCCTTCCGATGTGGTTTACATATTTTCTATTATAATGTCATTAATTTCTCAGCTTTTTAACATTTTATTTTAAATGATTTTATATTTCAAAAATGTGTAACAATATAGTTTATTTGCAGATTCTCCTAAGGTTAACATACTAAATTGTCATAGTACAATGATGAGAGCTAAGGAAATAGTATGGATACAATACTATTAACTCATCTACACACCGTATCTGGAGTTCACCAGTTTCTGTGTGTGCGTGTGTGTCCAGGTTCTCATGCAGCACTGTTTCAGCTCCTTAATTCCCTTCAGTGTCTGCCAGCATCGTCTTTCCTGTCTTTTGTGACCGTGACCCTTAGAAGCATTGGTCAGTTATTTTGTTGAAAGTCTCTCATTTTCAGGGTTGGCTGATGCTTTCCTGTGATTAGATGGAGGCTATTCATATGTTTGGCAAGGAAATCAGACAAGGCATCCTGTTCTCAGAGAGCGCATGATGTTGGTGTGCTGTGTGACTGGTGATGTTAACTTTGATCACTTGCTTAGGGTGGAATTCAGAAATTTCTCCATTGGAGTGTCACTATTTCCTCATTTGTGATCCAGATCCTATCCAGGTTTATACACTACACTTGGTTATCTCTAGTTCTTTTAAAATCTAGAATAACCAATCCAAATCCACTGCCATGGCAACTCCATAGGATAGAGTCGAATTGCCCTCAAATTATTATGACTGCAGACTGACGCTCCTTTCTCCCCAAGAGCGACTGGTGGATTCAAACCCACAAGCATGACGCTATTAGTTTAACCACTGGGGCACCAGGGCTTCGAAATCTAGAGTAATCCCCCTTTTTCTTAGTGACTTCCATTTGCTGCTGTGTGCCCTGGAGTCTGTTCTGGCTCTCAGGGACCCAACGTACACGCGAACAAACTACCGCCCGGGTCCTGCACCATCCCCACAATCAGTCTTTGATTTACTAAGTATATGAAACACCTCCTCGCTTGTCTGATAGAGCATCCCACGTCCCATGAACAGTTTTTTGTTTTTATCATTTTATTAGGGGCTCATACAACTCTTATCACAATCCATACATACATCAATTGTGTAAAGCACATTTGTACATTCATTATT